CCTGCCCGAGTACAGCGAGTGGAACCTGACGTTTCTCTGATACTTGTCTCATTTTAAACCGCTGAATGCAACTCTTTTTTTGAGCAAGCGCAATTCAGACATTTTAAAAGATCTTTATGGTAGTCCCTTGGTATTTAAACTTATGGTTCCTGCCTGAGCGTAGTGGAGCTTCTTTCCGTGGGAACCATAAGAAGAAGGAATGTGCGAGATTGTCTGGATCTGAAGGTTGAGGTTCAGCGGGCTCTCTCCAGTTAAGACTTACGGGCCTGCTGGCTGCATCAGTACCTCTGACATAAAGTGCCCCATGTTTTTACTGTCTGTGGAACCGCCCCTCCTGCAGCTCTGTTGTGATTTGACAAGTTCAGCCTCAAATGTTTGTTTTTTCATAATCAGGAAATAATGCTTCAATCTGTGTGTGTGTGTGTGTGCGCGTCCGTGTATAGGTTGATGAGGATGATGATGATGATGATGACATCCTCACCCTCAGAGAAGATGAAGAAGAAACCTCCAAAGGACAGTCTGACTCTGCTGCCATGTTTCTACTTCGTAGAGGTGAGAGCAACAAACAAACAAATGGTCACATGACACAGAGGACCGTACCTACAGTCAGGTCCACCGCGCTATTTTTCAAATCAAACAGCATGTGAATTTCAGACTTTCCGCTTTAATTCAACTCATTTAATAAAAGTTCTGCATGAACTGTTTGGAAAGCGCTTTGAGGGCCCTGAAAAGCGCTATATAAATGCAATCCATTATTATTAAATTATTTTCATTTAGAGAATCAAAAAAAACCCTGAACAAATTAACATAATTTTCAATATAATTCGAGTATTTGATGAAAATCCTCAGTGACCATCTGAAGAGCCCATGGACCACACGCTGATGCTTCAGATCCTCAGACAGTCTAAACATAGATGTAGCTTCTGGGTCTGAATCGTAAAATCTGAGTTCTCTTACACTTGTACTCTTTTTACTGACCACCAGGGGGCAACAGCTGACCTCAGGTCCTGTGGAGGTGTATGGGGAGACAGTGTCTGCCGGGACCTCTGGAAAAAAAAAAGAAAAAGAAAAAAAAAACCCCACTGACATCATGAGTTTATGGTCATGATTTCCAGACTGAGCCAAACTGAGCCAAACTTGAAACTTGCGATCACACACACTCACTAACAGAGGTCAGCTTATCTTACAGAGGCTATGAAAGGATTCTGCTTCCTGTTTACACTACCTGTAAACTCAGAGCTACCGGTACATTTTGGCAGCACTTCCTGCCGTGTCGACAAGGATCAGATGATCCCATTAACAGATGTTTATCTGTTTTTCTGCATGCAGCTGCCCATTGTGGCTTCTTCTATGGTGTCGCTGTACTTCCTGGAGCTGACCGATGTGGTGAAGCCGGCTCAAGTGGGTTTCCGGTGCCACGACAGAGATTTGAGTATGCCGTACGTGGATGGAGGAGATGAGCTGATCCCACTGTTGATGCTTCTAAGCCTCGCCTTCGCTGGACCTGCTGCTTCAGTACCATAATTTATTAGAATTTATTGATTATGTAGGAATATGTTTTTAGTGATGGCGCACTTGCCTAATCGGATTGGAGGCTAAGAAGATGACTGGAGGTGATGCTTGGTATATGTGATTGATGGGTGGGTGGTTTAGTTTTTGAGTGGCTGAATGAAGGGTTGGTCGATGGATGAGTGATTGGTGGATGGCTGGTTGTTTGGTTGGATAGGTGATTGGTGGTTGGCCAATGACTGTTGAGTGGTTTAATAGGTGTTTGTAAGTTGGTAAGTGATTAGTTGCTGGTGGATGGGTGGGTGTGTGGTTGGATGGTTGATGGGGTACCCCGACTCTCCATTCTGACCTCACGAACAATGAAAATACCTCAGATGTTTGGAAGTCTTTGGTGTCTTTGGTTTCCTCACCTGTACATCTCCACCTGTGCATAAACTAGTATTTCATGTTTGGTGGTTGTAGAAAGTGGGCGGGGACAGCCTGTCCTGCTTCAAGCTGCTGAGGTGGATTTGTTTTGTGCCCCAGATTATGCTGGTGGAAGGAGCAATCTACTGCCTGCAGTCCCGTCTGAAACTCCGCCGAGCTGAGGGAAGCATCAACGCTGGCGGCTGCAGTTTCAACTCCTTCCTGAGGAGGACGGTCCGTTTCGTAGGTATAACTGTGTCTGCAGAACCTGCTGAACATCCACCTGTACCCTGTGACCTGCCACCAGTCTTACATGTCAAAAGTGTTCCTGCAGGTGTGCACGTGTTCGGCCTGTGTGCAACCGCGCTGCTCACTGACATCATCCAGCTGTCCACGGGGTACCACGCACCATTCTTCCTCACTGTCTGCAAACCTAACTATACTCTGGCGGGTGTGTCATGTGACAAGAATGCCTACATCACCACAGACATCTGCTCTGGGCAGGATGAGCACGCCATCATGGCTGCGAGGTGCTTGCCAGACTTCCTGTTTGTGTCGCTGTTTGAAGTTTTCAGACTGATCATTGAGGCATGTTTTGTTTTTTGTTTTTTTTCTTCCTCTTCTTACAGAAAGACGTTTCCTTCCCAGCATGCAACTCTGTCAGCGTTTGCTGCTGTTTATGTTTCTGTAAGTGCGACAAAGAAAACCTTCCCACAGAAACAAGCTCGTGTGATTTTAGGTCCAGTGGTCAGAGTTCAGGTTCAGCCCAGAAATGCTGGGTCGGCCATGCTGCTTTTAACGCATGTAAATTAAAAGCTGATTTTAGACTCGGATTAAAGTTAAATTTTCCATCCCAGAATAAATTCATTTTACACAAAAATAAATAAGAATAAACAATGTTCACATTTTAAAAAATGTCTTTAGGAAATTGTGTCAGGTCTGCTTGTACTGCTCAGTTTTGTTTGTCTTGATAAAGATGTGTTGAATTTGCTGTATCATGGCATTCTCTGATGTTAGCTTCTGTTTCCTGTCAGATGTACTTTAATTCGACCATCTCAGACAGCACCAAGCTGCTCAAACCCGTGCTGGTGTTTGCATTTGCCATTGCTGCAGCGCTGACTGGCCTGACTCAGATCACACAGCATCGTAGCCACCCCATCGACGTCTATGTGGGCTTCCTCATTGGAGCCTTCATCGCCGCCTACCTGGTGAGATAAAGGACACATCTGGTGTGTGTTTCTGTCTGATGGAGCTCCAGAGTCTGCAGCTGTTGTCATGGACATGGCTTTGTGTTGGTGTTGTCATGGCGACTGCATCAGCTTAAACCAGAGGCTGATGGTAGATCAAAAACCAACAGCTCTGCAGCTCCAAGTGACTCAAATCTTGATTTAGCCAATAAGCTTCAGCCGAGGAGCTTCACAAAGAGATGATGGGCTGAATATCCAACTGAATATGAGGGAATATTAAACCTGCCAGCACAAAGAAACGTCTGAACAGCACCTAAAATACAGACAGAATCATTCAGCCTGAAAAACACAGCTAAGACTTTCAAATAATTCAAAGCCTGATTTAATAGAATATCATCCAAAGACACCGACTCAGTGGTTGAAACCGGGAGATTTAGTTGTTTTTGAAGAGGTTGGTAATAATGTAACAGATCTTGGTGCTGGTCTCTGAGGTTTGATCTGACGATTAGATCAGGTTTCAGAGTATTTTTGAGGTTTGTGACTCTCCAAAGACTCACAAGATTTTATTCTCCTCCGTCAGGCCCTTCACGCTGTCGCCAACTTCAAATCATCTGATGACATCACTCCACCCCCACCTCCTCCACCCCTAAAGGCAGACCCTCTCCGAGCACTGACTGAGCGGGGACACGAGTCGGTCTATAACAAAGGCCCTGCCTCTGCCTCAGAGAGTAACGATGAGATAGCAGCAGCTCCGGCTCCCATGGACCGGCTGGATGGCCTGGGGCCCCTGCAGAGGGAGAAGGGCTCAATGGGAAGTCTGAAGAGGGCCAGTGTGGATGTAGAGCTGCTGGCTCCCCGAAGCCCCATGGGAAAGGAGACCATGGTGACCTTCAGCAACACGCTACCAAGAGCTAGCATGAATGTAAATGGTGTACTGGGGGCCAACGATGCCTCTGAGGAGGCGGTGCAGCCGGTCCAGCCAGTGCAGCCAGTGCAGCGCCGTCTGAAGGCTGTTCAGGTGCCCATGGACCCTATGCGGTCACAGCAGCTGGTGTCGGAGTGGAAGCAGAAGTCGATGGAGATGCGAGGTATGGGTGTTCGGGACGAGGCAGAGCACGAAACCAGTGAAGACGGCTCTGAGGTAGGCTCTGTGGGGACTGACGATGGCGGTTCTCAAGCCCCGATCTACCAGCCTGCAGTGCATGCCGGGAGGGCAAACGCAAGTCGCAACCCCACTCCACCTCCAGGGGGGGCCAAAGCTGTGGCAACACCCAGACCCCCACAGATCCCAGAAGCAGGACCCCCACCGGTTTCTCCAAAAAGCGCCCTAACCCGAGCCAAGTGGCTCGCCATCCGGGAGAAGACAACCGGGGAGGCGTCCGGGCGTGGTGCTGCCAACCAGCCACGACTCATGCAAGTCATTGCCATGTCCAAGCAGCAGGGCCTCCTGCCGTCCTCGTCCTCTGGGGAGAAGTCCTCCGAAACCACATCCACCTGCTCTGCCATCTCCTCCGCTGCCGACTCGCCACACTACCGCCACCCCTTTGAGCAACCACGGGAGGGGCCAGGTATCATCACAGTGGATGCCCATGCACCCCACTATCCTGTTGTCCAAGTCCCGCTTCCTCCCCAGGCCCAGCCCCCATCAGGTAATGGTAACCCATGGGAGTGGGTGGGGGCATCCAATGGGGGAGACCCACGAGAAACCTACAACCTCTCTAACCTGAATCGAGGAGATTCGGCCAGCCGCAGCAGCAGCAGCTTCCACCCACGCCGCTCTGCCTCACCATGCGCCACTGTCGACCCTACCATATCCTCAAGCCCACCTCACCAGCAGGTAGAGATGTCATCAGATGCTCAGCGCAGGGAGATGGCCATGAGGCGCAAGACAGCACTGGTTCTGTTGGAGCGAGAGATCCGTAACCAGACTGAGCAGGAGAACTATTATAAGAGTCTGCAGGGACGGAGGTTCAAAGATTAGCCTGTTACCTTTCAAAATAAAAGCCTTACTCTGAAACTGGTCACTAACAGCACAAAACCTGGTTGGCAACAAGGAGCGTGATGCTATGCAAGCAACAAGCTGTGAGAAGAGGTTTCCACCCAGGAGATGATGAGCTCAAGGTTTAGGAGCTCAACACTTGGACAGTTTCTCTTCACAAAAACACATCTTACCTCTCAGAGAGTCTAGGAGGACATCAATGCTATTGCAACTATTTATTTTTCCAAGTGAACCCACCACAGAGGACATTATTATTATTATTATTATTATTATTATTATTATTCTTGAGATAAGTTGCTATCCAAAGAAATCATCCCAAGAAGGATGGATTCAGTGGTTATAAACAGAGACAGAGGTGTTGTTCACATTTATCAGATGATCTCACTGTTTTTGGTCAGTGATGGTGCTGAGGTACCTCTGCTCTTCCACCCATTCAGTTTCCTGTTCAGTGACTTTAACTTTAGAAAGGATTCAGGCTGTGGCTAAAGGACAGTATTAATCCTGAAGGAATCCAATCACAAACTTCTTTAGACTGACACAGACTGACCCAATTGTTCTGTGATCCAGAAAGGAACACCTCTATCTGTGCCGAAGAGATGCTGTCCACTGTGTTGAGCCTCTCAGAAGAAAGGAACTCATTCAATAAACAGCTCAAAGTCAAAGCACAGAGACAAACTCAAACAGTAAATTTTTGAAACACCCGAACAAACCCTAACCCTGCAGCAAACAAGATCCCTGCAACAAACAAGAACCCTATGACAAACCTGCGACAAACAAAGAACCCTGTCACAAACAAGAACCCTGCAACAAACCCTAAACCTGCGACAAACAAGAACCCTCCGACAAACAAAAATCTTCCAATAAACAAGAACTCTCCAACAAACCCTAACCTTCCAACAAACCATAACCCTGCGACAAATAAGAACCCAGCAGCAGAACCCAACCCCTCCAGTTATGGATTCTGTGATGGCGGCCATGTTGGCAGTCGAATTCAGATTGTATATTTCTTGCCTCTCTGGTGTGATGGTTTGGTTGCTATAGTGATTCTCAGCATGTTTGTTTGTTTGTGTGTGCTGCTGTCTGATTGGTGGAGGTTGTGAGCGTTTTGTTTTTGTGTGTGAATGATAGTACTTATTACTAATGGACCGACATGAGATTAAATCTCGTCACAGACGTTTAGGTGTAAAAAGAAACTAGGTGATTTTATTTCAGAGCTTTATAAGTGCGAAAGACGGCCGAAGGTTTACGTGCGTGAATATTAATCAAATGTTTCTTCAAAGAATCGGAATGGAAAATGGTGTTAAAGCCATGGCTTCACAGTAAAGTTATTTATTTCTGTCTACAGAAAGTTTATGTTTCAGTTAAACAAGATTACTTATTTGATTGATTATGCATGTCCTGATTGTCCACAGAGATCAACATCTCTATGAAACATCTGAAACACCAATTATAATTAACGTAGCGTTGCTAAAAAGTTTTTTAGCTCAACGATAGTGATTCAGAGCAAAATTATGGACAACTTGTGGTGTTTTGACCAGCTAAACTGACATATATAACCGTACACTTAATACCAGATCGAAGTTTCTATTTTCTTGGATAAACCTGCATATTCTGCCATCCAAACATTCATCTTCTTAGCTTCTTATCCAGCTTAGGGTCACCTTGTGATTCAGGTTGGTTTAACTCTGTGAGGTCTTCATCTGTTATGACCCCAACCCCCTAACCATTTCTTTTAAGCCTCGTCCACAGATGAAATGATTCAATCTGTAGCAGATGTTTAATCTCTAAAAAGACTTTTCAGTCTGTATGAGGTAGAAAGACTTTTGTTGTTCCCTGATTGCTGAGATTTAAGAGAACAATTTTTAAAATATTACATATTCTGACAGGACAGGATTAGGGTCATCGTGATCATTTTTTTTGCTGTTAAAATCCACTGTCTGCAGCAGACATGGACGAATCAAGAAATACCTTAAAGAGAACATGAAGCGTTCCACATATATAGGCTAATTCCCATCATGGAGACCTGCTCTCAAAAACTGACATAGATGTGACTCTGTCTGTAAAGCTGGATTTAAGAAATAAGCGATGAAATATAACGTTTTAAAAATATGTTTAGCACCATCTTCTGTCAGTATGGAACATGACAGCATGTGGTTGGTTGGTTTCAGGTAATAGACATTAGTTTAGGTTAGGACAGAACTGATAACGCAGAGGAAAATAAGGAAACTAAAAACTAATTGTTGTGTTACTATGAGTTTATGTTAAACTGATTGTTGAAACTTGTTTGGCTAGCTGCACTCAAATGGGAAAATCCATTAGCATTAATATTCGGGTTCGTAAAGCACTTTAGAAACGAGACCTGTGTGGAGGAGAGCCTGTTTGAGCCACCAGAGTGAGAAGCTGGAGTCTCACAATCCAGCTTTTCCTCATCAGGTTGGGTGTACCAAGCCATGCAGTCAGCTGGCTACATTGTAGATACTGAAGACATCAAATGTAGCAAAAACAAAATTGATAAATAACTTTAAATGTTTTATATTTTAGATTTTCCAAAGAAGCCACCCTTTACTTTGTTGACAGTGCTGCAAACCCTTGGCCTTCTCTCAATGAGCTTCATGATGTGACACCTGAAATGGTTTTTACTTCACAGGTGTGCCTTGTCAGGGTTCATTTGTGTCTCACCCTTCTTAATGGGTTTGGGACCATCAGTTGTGTTGTGTAGAAGTCAGGTTGGTATACAGCTGACAGCCCTCTTTGACAACTGTTAGAATTCATATTATGGCAAGAACCAATCGGCTAAGAGAAACAGTCCATCATTACTTTAAGAACTGAAGGTCAGTCAGTCCGGAAAATTGCTAAAACTTTGAGTGTCCCCAAGAGCAGTCGCAAAAAACACCAAGCACTATGATGAAACTGGCTCACATGAGGACCGCCCCAGGAAAGGAAGACAAAGGAGTCTGCTGCTGAGGATAAATTCACCCGAGTCACCAGGCTCAGAAATCACAAGTTAACAGCACCTCAGATTAGAGCCCTGATAAATCCCGCACAGACACCACAGTCACCTGACCTAAACCCAATGGAGATGGTTTGGGATGAGATGGACTGCAGAGTGAAGGTAAAAGGACCAACAAGGGTTCAGCATCTCTGGGAACTCTTTCAAGACTGTTGGAAAACCATTTCAGGCGACAACCTCATGAAGATCATCAAGAGAATGGCAAGAGTGTGCAAAGCAGTAATCAAAGCAAAGGGGGACTATTACGAAGGATCTAAAATATAAAACATTTTTTGAGTTATTTCACGCTTTTTTGTTTACTACATAATTCCATGTGTTTATTCATAGTTTTGATGCCTCAGTGGTGTAAATTATGCTTTATATGTGTAACGTTTCATGTCCTCTTTAAAGTTGCATTCTGCTTTTATGACCACCACCATCTGTTGACACTGTAGATTCTCACAGTGTCAACAGTAATAAAAATAAAGAAAACACATTAAATAAGATGTGTCCAAACGTTTAACTGGTAGTGTATTTGGGCTTTGCTTTTCCTCACTTCTAACATGAAGTAATCCAGTCAGTGAGATGATGTGAGGAACAAACAAAGGGTCACCAAAAAGTGTGGCATCTCTTCCTCAGAGGCTCCACTTTCTTGGGTTTTTTTCACATCCACCTGTTTTCGATGCAGACGTGCTGATGGTATTCCCAGTTGTGCTTCAGTAAAAAAAAATAGTTACATTTGTGCTTTGTTGTGCATGTATTGGGCTATGTTGTAAACTGTCTGGATGTTTTTGGGAACAGAAATTATTTTGTTGCATAAATTAACGCTGATCGCATCAGCTGATTCTGCTGCTCGGTACACTTGGTCAGAGGAAGAAAAATCAGTTCGTGTAGGTCAAGTAAACACCTGTCACCTGGCTCAAACAGGCTCTCCTCCACACAAACCCGAATATTATGGCTAATGGCTGGATTTTCCAATTTGAGTGCAGCTAGCCAAACAGCAAACAGCCGCTTACTGCTAAAGAGACAGACAGTGAAAGTGGACAGTATATCCTCAGTTTAACATAAACTCATTGTTGCAGCCAGGGGCAACACAAATGGCAACCACATGACATCACTGACAGAAGATGGCTCTAAACAACTTTTAACTTTAAGCATTTATTTCTTAAATCCTGCTTCACAGACAAAGTTACATCTGTCAGTTTTTGTATGTAAATTATGCTTTATATGTGTAACGTTTCATGTCCTCTTTAAAGTTGCATTCTGCTTTTATGACCACCAGAGGGCAATACATTTGGTTTTAAAAAAAAAAACCAACCTTTTGGTTTTATTCAGGATTCTTGTGTGATATCATGTGCACATTGCTCAAGACTTGCCTGATATATTGGATGTCATACAACCACGTCACCACAGAGGGGTGTGGTTGTTTTTTCTCTCACATTTTAAAGTTTATCTCATCATTTAGCTGGTTCATCACCACAGGTGTAGTGCTGTTTAATGACCGCTGTGCACCTGATGCACACGTTTCTGCTTCTATCGCTGTTTCAGCACGGAGGCTAACTAACATGAAGTCTTCATCACTTCTTCCATGCTGCTCGCAGCTCTATCCTCCCTGATGTGTCTTCTCTCACTCAGACATTTTTCTTAGTAAAGTTAAAGTCAGGGTTATAAATACATCTGCAGCTTAGACGGAGGCAGGATTGATCCAGAGGAGAGCAGAACTGCTGACCTAAACTGTGAACATGATTCACAGTGAGATCCAACCCAAGTTACATAGTAACCATGTTACGTCCATAAATGTTAGCTTTATGGCCTGTGATGCTGCGTATTTATTAAACTCAAGATTCCATGGCTGTATGACTGCACTTGTGCTGAAACACTGCAGTTATGCATTGCTCTGCATGACAATTAGTTTGTAATTAAAACGTGTCTGCGTGACTTTTCTCAGCAGTGTGCACACAGAGAGAGCTTTTTTCTCTCCCAGGGCCATACACACCGCACACATGTCTGTGAAAATGCAGCTCTGACCGTGTTGATCAGATTAATGTCTGAATCCTAACATATGTAACATCAACTTTAATAACTGCCAGCAGAAACAACTGAGCCCATATTTATGCTCATGTCACAGTAACAGCACCTTCGTGAGCTCGGGGATGTCCCTGGTCTGTTCATGTAAAGCTGTTTCCACCTGAGTCTCAGTCCACTCGATGGAGCTCGCACTGTTCCTATCAACAGAGTTCTCTCTGATGTCACAAACATTGATCCTCCTTCAACCTCCTCTCACTGATCTGAGCTCACGGTAAAACCTGACCTTAAACTTGATTATTCCGTGACGACATCAGTCCACTCGATGGACACATGCTTGTGACATCATGCTTGTGACTGCTGCTTTTTCTTGATTTTTTTTTTTGTTTGTTTTTGTGCAGACCAATTGAGCTACGATCACTCAGATCCACTTAAAGCCATGACTAAATTTCACCTAATTAAGCTAACAGTGAATATTTTATTTTGCATTTGGAAAAAAGTGATGGAGTGATCTTCTGGCAGCACTATACCTGTGTTTATCACTTCCAGAGTTTCAGGCAGGCCCAGACAGTGGCTTGCACGCTAATGTCTTGTGACTGAAAAGCCGTGTATAGGAAACACCCCTCTGCTTTGGGGGTGTAATCAAAGAGCTGTGTGCTGCTTGATGACATCACGCATGCTGATTCGTTCCATCATGTAAATGTTGGTTTGAGGACAATAGGAGCTCAGAAGAATAACATCCTGAAACAATCGGTCTGTAAATACGAGGCGGTCCGTCCTGCTGTTCCCGTGTCCGTGTGTTGTTGCATGTGATGTTTCTAAATCGGCGCGCTCTCATCTGAATGTAAAACCATGAAGCATCATATGAGTGTATAAAGTGCTGCTATAAAAAGAGCTGAAGAAGCTGTTTCAGGTGCATGCTCTGTGGTTCCAATTAAAGCTCGTTCTTCATCACTGTGTCTTCCTCTTTTCTTCCAATGATGCCATCGTGGCTCTCAGTAATAATTGTTAATCCGGGTTGTTTCCTGGTATGCAGAGGATGAAGCCGTTTGTGTGTTGCACTAACTTTTCCACAGATGATGTGATGAAGACATCCCTCAGAGTCTTTGTCAACTTGTTAATTTCCTATTTCATCCTCTCTCAGTCTCTCCATCATTTGAGCTTCCTGGAGGTTTTGGTCTCATGGGGCGTTTCCTTAAACTGACCAATTAGTGCTGAGAGACCAGCAAGGCCAGAGCACTGCCATCTGTCGCTGATGACTTGATACTGCATCTCCCTCACCCATCCACACACCATCTGGTTATAGGCCTCCAAACTTTTATAAGATTTAAAGTCTTCCCCTGTGTATAGGCTCGGCAAGAAAACCAGGTAGTTGATGATATCAGGATACGCAATAGACAGAAGACTTTTCGGGTCGTCATTGATCCAAGACAAAGGAGCCAACTCGTATGGATCTGCACCACCACCAATAAACCTTAAACAAATATTGTGCCCTTTCCTGCGGACCAAGTCCTTTCCTGTATGCCTTTGCATCTATAACGCATTTTGAGGAGCTTTTCTGTGCTTTCGGACATTGATCCATTTCAGTGTTTACCTCCGAGTGCCTCCAATATGGCCGTGACGTAGGTGAAAACCCTCTATCCGGTTGTTCAGTGATGACGCGACGAATCCTACTTCCGGGCCTAAAGTAGTCTGCGTTTAATATGGCTTTTGTGTTGTTAACATGTTTAATGTTATGTATTTTCTTCTATTTGATCTCAAAAAGCTCCTAAAACAGTCAGTGATCACTGTTGATCTCCCTCGGCTTTTATTACCCTAATCATTTATTTAAGCTCAGTTTTTAAAACCTTAGGATGTAACTACAGCCCAGCCCATGCAGCAGTATATGAATGACTAACCTCGTATTGTGGATGGATTATCTCAGTTGTTCTCCTGGCTGAAGTTCGGTCCTTTTACAGCATCCTGCCATGCGATTACATTTGTTCCTGACCACCGAGAACACTCACGTTAACTTTTATCGAGTGGAAAAAAGTTAGCTTGTTTATATTATGCTAACATAGCTGTGTCGCTAGCAGTCACGTAGCACATCATTATATACCAGCTAGCCCAACTTCAGTAACCCTACAAACGTCACTGCTTTTTAGTTTTCTGTCTTCATTTATGCTGGAAGTGATAACAGAGCTGTACGTTTTAATTTGTTTCCAAAACCCCGCAGTCAGGACATGCTATATTGTATTTAGATAGAAGCTAGCGAGCTAACTCCCTGCTAACTTCTAACTCTGTTAAATGGCATAAATTCCGTTTTCATGGATGCCTGGATGTTAAACTCAATTGTTCCACCTGGTAGAGCAGAACGCTGATCATTTTAATAAAGATGAAAGACTTT